TTCAGGAGGGGGAATAGAAGGGTGTTCAAAGGTGTAAAAGAAACAGACACAAAGGCTCAGAAAGGGTAAGATGAGTAGTGGTCGGGGTCGAATATGACATACAGTGGGAGTGATGGTTGTTTGAGGTGAGAAGTCAACTGAGGATTAATAGACTTTTTGCCGCATAAGTATACGTTGCCCAGGGTGCATCACGTGGAGGTAAGTCTATCGCACACATCGTACTTCCTAATTAATTCAATAAATTTGAACAATAGTCCTATGGCGCTATTTTAGTACATATAAAAACTTTAAAACGCCCGTTTTTTCCAAAGGTATTTATTAAATATAACGCGGAATGATAATTCCAGAATGTTCCACATAGCTTTTTCAAATGTCAGGAAGAATTTCGGTCCTTATTTAGTCACTGGGCCGAGTCAAGTGCCTCGCATGATGGCAGAAATTTACTTCACACTTGTCCAAAATAGAGGCTAATCCCATACTAAGAAGTTGGGGGGGGGGGGGGGGGGGAGGGGAACCAGACAGACAGAATAAATGGGAAAGGAGGGCGGGGGGGGGGGGAGAATGGAAGATTGTTTTAAATTTCATTTACCTCCTCCCTTCACTTAAAGTACATGTTCTGAGCGAATTATCATATTCAGAAATATTTTTGTAAATGTGAATACTCAAAACAATTTGGTAATTTGAATGGTCTTACTGGCTGCACTTATAGCAATCTATTGATGTGTGGAACGAATTACTTATAAGAGCATTTCGAGTTTGGCACACAACTCAAAAAGATGCGTTTCTCTTAAAGTATTCGGAGCTGATTGGGAGAAGTATCTCATTAACGAATGAAAACATTGCTTTTAAATTAACTAAAATTTAATTAATTGACTACAGGTAGTATTATTATCTTCCTTAAACTCTGCTTACTAGACAATCTGACTTTCAATAAGGGCAAATTTGTGGAAGTTACTGTAAGCCGCCATATTACATATCATTACTCTCGACCTAACTTAATTCGAATGAAAATGAATATAAGAAGTTTATTTATTTATTTATTCCAAATGGCAGGCTTTATGATATTTATCATTAGCCCTTAATCTTTGACTTCAGCTTCCCCCAAGAAGGGGGGGGGGTACATTTATAACAGTAAATTAATAGCAATTCATTAGCTATTCTCTTGCTTCCCAGTATCTTTGGCTTTCCGTACTTGTCTTTAGGGCTGGACACCGAATCAGGTGGGTCTTCTCCATTTCCTCATGTAGGTTACATAGAGGGCATGTGGGTTGAGTGTATAATCCCAATCTGTGAAGGTGTTTTGCCAAGCAATCGTGTCCGGTACGTAGTCTAAACTCAGCAACGGCTTCGATTCTTGGCCAGTCGGCTATGTCGGAGAGTGCCACTCTCCACTGTTTCTCCTTTGTTCGAGCTTTAATTTCGTTTCACCTTGAGGTCTGGAATTCTCTCCTGATTAAGGCCTTCATTGTGTGGAATGACATCGGCCGGTCCATGCATTGCGAAATCGTTGTCTCCTTCTTAGCAAGTGTGTAAACTACATCAATGTCTGCTAATGGGTTCATGGGGGAGAGAGGCTCTTTGGTTTGTCATCGATTTGTAATGCTTTCTTCAGTTCTATGGCTTTCTGTATTAGACCAGATTGCGTTTTCAGATGTCTTGGTCTATTCTCATAGGTGCTGAAGAACTTATCCATGGGAATGCGCAGTAGCTTCTCATACANTAAAGTAAGCACTTGATGCCCGTGACTGTCTGTACCAATTCGGCTATGTCATTGATGAAGACATTGAAAAGAGTGCAGCTTGTGACAGCTCCCTGTGGAAGACCTGTTTGTAAAAGATTGGATTTTGATAGAGCATTTCCGTATCTGACTTTACACGATCTTTGTCCAATGAATGCTTTTATCCAGTTTAGCATGTTATGCTTAATACCAATCTTTGCCAATTTCAGAATTAGCTTCTCTTTCCATACTAAGTCATATGCTGATTTGAAGTCGACGAAAACAGCCGTAAGTGTATTTCTTGCATCAAGGGCATCTTTGATGAGTTGGGAGAAAGTGGCTACTTGTCGATTTGTTGATCTTTGCGACCTAAAACCTGCTTGTTCACTCCTAAGAATATTATTAGTCTCAAGAAACCAGGTCAGCCTCCTGTTAACCATTCTTTCCATAAGTTTAGCCAGCACGCTTGTGAGGGAGATAGGCCTATAGTTGTCAAAGTTGCTAGGGTCTTTGCCCTTTTTTAGTACTGGTATTACTATGGCAACTTTCCATTGGTTTGGTACAAGACTGGTCTCCCAGATTTTGTTGTAAAGCGTCAGCATGGTTTCCTTGGCTTTTGGTCCCATTCTAATTAGAAATTCTGGATGAATACCGTCTTCGCCAGGAGACTTTTTGCATTTGAGCTGTTTTATCGCAGCATTAAGTTCGCAAGGTCGGAATGGTTCAGTAAGTACATTATTTGGTGTTACTATGTCTTCCTTAATTTCACCCAACTATCTTACTTGTATCTTTAAATTTCTTGAAGATTTTCTGACAAAAGGGTTTTTCTTTTGCTCGAAGTTAATAAACCAAAATTCGTTCACTAATATTTACTTAACTTACTGGAACTAGAAGGAAGATTTCATAAGCAAATTGTTCGTGTCTACTTAGCTTTGAGGCCCAGAAAGATGAAAATAAATGAAACAACAAATCGTTCAGTTTTGGAAGTTCTTTCTTCAAACGATGACGCTTATATCGAACAGCAAATTATTAAAAGAAGTTCACTGAGCATGAAAGGAGGCAACGAAATATGGACTGTCATTAACGTATAGTAAACGTTCAAGGAAAAAAGTTAATTTGGATAAGTGAATAAATGAATTAATTAATTAATGTTGAAGTTAATCTAATCCAATCAGAAAATGTACGATGGTTCCGGCATATATGAACGAGGATCTTGAGTCCATTTCATTTCATTAAAACAATAATAATTTATGAAAAGGTAATAAAATAATGTTTAAAAAAATTGCATGCCCACTTGTTTAGTTGAGAGTCAAATGAAAAATCGAAATGTGACCCCTTTCATTCTTTAACAATTTCGAAATCCAAAGAAAGTCGACTTATTAATGAGATGTTGATCAAGAAGTTTTGAAGACCTTTTAAGTTATAAAAATAGTAAATAAGAACCGAAAACCGACACTCCTGAAATATTTATTCATTTATTTATATTATTTATATCAAATGGCAGGCTTTATGATAGTTATCACTAGCCCTTTAGTTGACTTCAGGGTTCACAGAGGAAGAGGAACATCAAATCGAAAAAAAGTCGAGAGGGGAGGGTGAACAAAAGAGTGTTTTAATGATGTAAAAGAGACAGACACAAAGGTAGAAAAAAGGTGAGGTGAGCACTGTGGAAGAAGTCGACAATGACATACAACGGGGTGATGGTAGTTTAAAGTGAGAAGTCAACTGCCGGTTTATAGACTTTTTTGCCGTATGAGTATACGTTGCCCAAGGTGCACCACGTGGAGGTAAGTCAATCGCACACCCCACTCCTGAAATATTTATTTCAATTTCAGTATATGCACTTAAGAATGACCAATAATGTGATTAAATGTACAACTATTACCAAAGCAGGAAAAATTCAAAACTTGCAAACTCAGCAAACTTTGAACAGAATTTTCTTGCGAGTACTGAATAGAATTGTGGAAAACAAATCCTAGTTAATTAGTAAATCCAGGTTCTCACCTTTTGTTACTTCCATTCTATCACCTCCTCCATTTGTATAATCAGTTTCAGTCACACACATGCACACACTTTCCCTTCAAACATTTATTTTTATAACCCTCCTATGCGTAGTCACTTATTGACAAGATTTCAATATTCAAGTCGACTTAGTCAATTTCACCGGGAAAAGTTCAAATCGAACACACAAAAATGCTAGTCTACGATAATTTGAGATCCACCCAATTGAAACCACAAAGGTATATTCACTTTTCTTTGCTTACCTTATAAAGGTCGATACCATTGTTTTTTTGGTACAAGCGCATTGCCGATAATTACATTCCGCTTCTTAGCACCAACGCAAAGCTTGACACACGCACACACACACAAGACAATCCGTCACCAATAAGCGCTGGAAGATCTCAAAGCAGAGCACTTTGTCAGCTACTTAGCATAAATTATTTCCTCACCAGGCCCGGCATTTGCGCATATGATGAGACAGACTTTTAATTCAATGGAAAGTAAAATAAAAAGCAACCTAACAAATTATCAAGTTATTCGGATACGCTTCAGGCTTTCGACCTGTATGAAGGTGATATATATTTGGGTCATTAAGTAAAGTACCAAGTAACATGAGTCTACACAGCAAGGGAACTGTTTAAAATAGAATTTTTCGAGGGAGCTTTACAAAGACACTGAGGGTGCCATTATAGAAACCAGGTCCTTGAGACCCTCACGTCCAATGCTCGTGAATAGTGTGTCGATAACGTGGGAGGTTTCCAAATATCCAAACGCGCCCACGCCTTCATAGTAAACTATAGAGATTAATAATTTTTCGCTAACATTAGGTCCGCAATAAGCGATAAAGCAATGTACATTAGAAAGTGGACAACAACACATCATGGTCTCATTTGACCTCCATGTTTCCGACCTTATTTTGACCATATTGCTAGCCCACGATAAAAACGTGTGAAAGTTTTAGTACAGCTTTAGCTGCTAATATTATTACGAAAAATTGTTTTCGTCGATCAAATTAAACAACGCAGAAAAGAACGATTTCATGATACCGAACCCAAGATTAACGACAACAAACATAATCCCCACCGATGCGTCTACTCAAAGAAAATCAATAAAAGCATAAATAGCGAAGAAGCAAACTTCAATTTTGATAAGTAGGTACAAAAAATAGAGTGAAATAAGGCATAAAGACACCAGTGGTTCAGAAAGAGGGAGAAGAGAGAGGGAGGATGTATTCTGTGCTACAACAGATGTTAACGGTGGGAGAAGATAAAGCAGTCTCCATTTAAAATGTCTCCTGGGGATCTTCAGTGCACTCATTCGTGGTGTGCGAATCAAAAACACCACAGTTGTCACAGTATAAACGATTCACTGATGGCGTAACATTCTTAGCCAACTTGGGTTGTAGAACACCCCGACGTTCAGTGGAATTCACTCCACCCTGGGGACACTGTTCAGTATCATGGAGATCAAAAACTTCGCAGTTATCACACCAGGACCGCAACCTTGTTTCTGAGGCCTTCTTGTTCTTCTTTTCAGTCGGTTGATCACCAGACCTTGTAAATGGAAAATGCAAGAAGGCGTAATTGAGACAAAACTCGAAATAACCAAGCTCTACTTGGTACTAAATTCTAAGTCAGAAAACTACCAAAAGAATTTAAAATCTAGAGCAAAGATGAAGTGTTAGTCTCCCTAACTATAAGTTCTATGGTATTTCGATAAAAGCATATTAGAAAACAAAATAAACAAAAAAGTAAAATGTTCCACCCTACTGGAAGTTATATAACTGGGGGCTAAGTGACTCATGATGTTCTAGAAGATTCCATATAGACAATCCTAAGAATGAACTATTTACAGGTAATAAAAATGGGACACAATTTCAGTGACAAATACGTTTGATCGCAAAAACCTAATTTATATTACTCATATCACCAACATCGCTAAAGTAAATGCGTAAAGAAAACTATCCAGAAAGGGACTGAACGTTTCTGTCCAAAAATGAACCCAAACGAGTAAAATCTTTCAACGCGTAAATGCTCAAACATATTAGATCCTTAAGATCATTCCTTTGATAATAAAACCAAGAGGAACTTCGAACAGATGGTGAGACAGTGGCTCCTGTAACAAACCAGATGTCGTGAAATCAATCCTCGTTGACGCTCGATCAATGCCGTGAATGAATAACCAATTAGTGCTCATCAACAATGTGGGGATTGAGAGTGAATACCTCATGAGAACCACTCCATTCGCTGGCTTCCTAAAGTGATGAATAGTTGTTAACGAAAAAAATTTATATTCTTCTGATTAATTACTGCTTAAACATTAACAAAGAATTCCTTTTCAATTCAGTAACTCGAAGCTAAAATTGCCGGCTCTAAGAACATAATTTCACGAATATATGGTTACATTGACGCATAACACATCATATTCAATACGGCATTACGGCTTATGCAAGTTTCGAATACCCCCTCTTCTATTCAAAACAGCACAAGATAGGTTGTAAATAGATTTCCAAAAATAAAAAAACCCTTTCCCACCTGTACCCATACAAGTAGTGTATTTCTCAACCAAAGAGAGGAGACAGGTAAACAGAAGTAGGAGAGAGGGTGCGCCCGTGTTGTCACTCCGGACAATCGGAACATGGCACAAAAATGTGGGCAATGTGTGCCACAACTCAAATTTATAAGTGGGATGGAGGGATTTGACAATTTGAACTCGAGTTCCCCTTTGTCCAAGTACACTAGCAAATAAGGTAATAAACAAACTACCCACTAAATCTCTCAGATGATTAGCAATTATGAGAGAGAATTAAAATTAAGGCAAAAGCTATATATCATACAAAAATTGTGAAGGTCTTTATTAAATTAATCGGAAAAATCAAGAAGAAAACGAAATCAAAAGTTGGAGACGCGACGCCTGGTTCGAGAAAAAGAAATAGAAAAAAAACAATCTTGAATTAGGACACACATTGAAAGAAGTGATTCACTTATTTGTCGATAAGTGCTGAAGTTTACTTACCTGGTTCTATCCACACCAGGGTTAGAAATGGCTGAGCGAAGGCGTTGTTCAAGCTCGGAATTTTTAGCATGCAGATCAACAATGATGGAATTGAGGAAGTTGACTTGACTGTCGTAGCTTTCATTGGTGGATCCACCTGTGGGAGTACGTGGTGTTCCGCGACCGTTGGGGACTGTTGATTGAATTGGTGATGAAGTGTCTGAAAAGTAAATACCAAGAACATCATTACAACTTTCCCCATTACGAAATGATGGAAGACTGGGATGACACCGTCTTTTCTTCTAATATTCAAGACATTTGAAATTTATTAAAATAATGTATAATTGAATGTAGACCTCCGATAACACAAAAGGAAATACAGTATAACAGTTGTCCAATCGCCTTGAACCCTAGTCTCAGAACGAAGTTACCTTCTCTTCAAGTAGTGAGACGCAAGAGAAATCAGTGACTATCAAAAATGGGGAAGCTTGAGAGGTCCAAATCTTCACTGCGTTTAAAACAAAAATGGCAATCGATCATTTTTGTTCCACCGAAGTAAATAAGACAGGAAAACACGGCAAACGGTCAAGAAAAGGTACGCCAGTTAGCCGCCTTTAGCCTGACAATCGTACAAAAATTTCAAAACTTGAATAACACAGTACCCAAGACGAAAAGTTAATAAGTAATCTTTAGACATTAAAAACTGAACGAGTGGTCTTATTAAGGGGAGATAAATTGAGTCGATTTCACAACTACTTCCGAACAACCGCACACACACCCACGCTTTACTAATTACTATAGGCTTTATCTTGTCTAAGTTCCATGCATATTTGCCCTCGGTTCAATGGACTGGGGAGGGGGAGGGAGCGAGGGGGGGGGGGGGGGAGGGGGAATGAGAGATTAATGTGTTTATTAAAAGCACGCGATTTAGTACTTTTGACATTAAATGTAGTGGAGAAGAAAAATAAAACGCTAATCCTTACATGTGAGAGCTTCTCTATCCCCTTGTGAAGACTGCGGAGAAAAGTGAGAAGGAATTGGCATAGCCATTTCATATTTGTATCTCAGGCTTAAAATTTTGCATTATGATCCTAATTAAGACAAGAGAGAAGAAAGTATGAACTTCCCGCACAGTTCTGTAAGGACAAAACAATGATGCCGATCAAGTCTTCATTGCTGTGGTGAAGTTAAAAGCTATTGGGTTGGCAACTAAGTCATTGCCGTTTTTGTTGACGGATTCACTCTATACTTTCTTTTGTTTTGTTAACGTGGCCAGAGCATCTAACCTATATTTTTTCTTACCGCATGGGCTACTAGGTTAATTAGTGAAAAATTTTTTTGTTTAGTTTTTAGTCTTGTTTTTATCCCAATTTAAAAATGAAAGAACAGGACGTGCACTTCCGACACATTTTATTGTATTACTTCCGAAAAGGCAAGAACGCATCGCAAGCACAAAAGAAGTTATGTGCCGTATATGGAGACGAAGCCTTAAAAGAAAGGCAGTGTCGAAATTGGTTTGAAAGATTTCGTTCCGGTGATTTTTCACTGAAAAATTCACAACGATCTGGCCGCCCAGTCGAAGTGGATGAAACCCATATCAAGGCCATTATCGATTCAAATCGTAACAGCACAGCACAACACGAGATATTGCAGAGAAGCTCAATGTGTCGCATACATGCATTGAAAAAAAAAAATTAAAAACCCTTGGTTATGTCAAGAAACTTGATTTATGGATGCCTCACCAGTTAAAGGAAATTCATTTGACGCAACGGATTAGCATCTGTGATTCGCCGCTACTGAAACGCAATGAGAATGAGAATGATCCATTTCTGAAGAACCTAGTTACTGGCGACGAAAAGTGGATAGTTTATAACAATGTCGTTACTCGCAAGAGATCATGGGTGAAGCAAGATCAACCAGCCCAAACAGTATCAAAAGCAGAGATTCACCAAAAAAAGATTATGCTGTCAGTCTGGTGGGATCACAAAGGAATTTTGTATTTTCAACTCATGCCGCAGAACCAAACGATAAATTCAAATGTGCATGTTGAACAACTCGAAAAACTGAAGGATACAATTGAAGATAAGCGACCGGTATTATCAAATCGGCGGAAGGGTGTTGTTTTCCATCATGATAACGCAAGGCCCCCCCCCACACACATCTTTGGTTACTCGGCAAAAATTATTGGAACTGGGTTGGGATGTTTTGTCCCACCCACCATATAGCCCTGATCTTGCGCCTTCGGATTACCATTTGTTTCGTTCCATGCAAAACTCTTTAAATGGTCAAATTTTTAACAACGCGGATGATGTCGAATCACACCTAATTCAGTTTTTTAATAGCAAAGACCAGACATTTTACGAACAGGGAATTTTTACTCTGCCAGAACGATGGAAAAAGGTGATCGACAAGAACGGCCAATATCTAATTGAATAAAGTTATATTTTTAAACAAAAATTCCGAATTTGCCTTCTTATTTGAAATCGGCAATGACTTAGTTGCCAACCTAATAGTATTTTAGTAAATAAAGCAGACGCGATTAGTATACCTTGATAGATTTCAACATCTTGAAGAGGATTAAGATTATTCTATAAGAAAGCGAACTTTAATTTATGAAAAACATGAACACTTTCGAAGGGAGGCATGCGAGAAACAAGTAAATCAAATAAAGTTCTGATATTCATGTTTGTGACCCTTTTAACGCCCTGAAAGAACGTACAGTCCTCATTCGTAAGAGAAGGTGTTATTGCCGTTTGAAGCACGTTCATACGTCTATGTAGCCTTCGCCTGATACACAACCAAACTCATCACGTCGGCGACATCAGTCTACTGCTGTGGGACACGCGTGAGTGCAGTTGGGTGCATTTTTCAAAAAGAAACAATCATTTGGGCGTTAAAGGGTTAAAAAGGAACATCAGTTAGCCCATAAATAGAGCAAAACCTCATAGACCTCAATTGAAGGAGCCGAAAATAGTAAATCCCAGTGGTGTCACTGAAATAGACTTGGAGAAAGCAGTTAGCTGATTATATTAAACGAGTGCAACAAAATTTCACAAGATTATACCCAATCTTTACTAAAATCAATACTGCATTTCAGGACCAAACACATACACGTAATGACTGAAACGTTCCCCCCCCCCCCTCCCCACTCCGATGGATGTCTTTAACGGAGTCACCTTAGTGAGAAGAGAAGAAAACAAAGGGGGAAAATCGTTATTTAAAACAGGAGGGGGGAGGGAGGGAGGGGAGGAGTACTTCCAAAAGGAGAGATGGGGTATGACAGATGTAAAAACAAGGGCCGTGGATCGTGTGCCTAGGAGTGTGTTAGAGGAGGCAAAAAGATACAGGATGCTCAATGCATAATTAACCCCAATTTCCGTTAGTGAAAGACAAGTCCTAGTGGATAAAGCGCCATACACATGAGTTCCTGTTCTCACATTAAACTTTGGCACGATGAGACTAAGATCCCATTATAAGGCAGCACTCTTCAACCCCAAAGTGAACCACTTTTAGGGATTCGAGTTATAGTGCCTTTGCACAAAACGTTGGAATAAAATGGAAATACAAAAAGTAAATCGGGTTTAAAGACGAAATTGAAGCTATTGAAAACACTCTCCACATCGATTAAAAAAACAAAGAGTAAGACTGGGATTAACGTTGTTAATAAGGGGGTGTGCGATTGACTTACCTCCACGTGGTGCACCCTAGGCAACGTATGCTCATACGGCAAAAAGGTCTATTAATCGGCATTTGACTTCTCACTTCCAGCAACCATCACCCCCACTGTATGTCATATTCGACCCCTACCACAGTACTCACCTTAACCTTTCTGAGCCTTTGCGTCTATCTCTTTTACAACTTTGAAACACTCTTCTGTCCCCCCCCCCCTCCCTCTCGACATTTTCACTTTGATGTTCCTTCCCCTCTGTGAAGCCTAAAGTCAACTAAAGGGCTCATGATTACTACTAAAACGCCTGCCATTTGATGTAAATGAATAAATGTTTTTAATAAATATTTGCACGAGCATCGTGGAATCAACCAGAAGGAATATGATTGCAGCGAAACAAAATAGATCGAAGTAGAACATCAAATTAGGGATAAGATATGCAAAATATGAAAGTAATAACTTACGAGTGGATTGCTTGGAGTGAGCTTCCTTTTCAAAGCGTTCCACTTTCTTCTCAGCTCGACGCACACGCTCCATGCAGATTCTCTTCTCCGTTTCCAGGCTTGTCACCAGTTGCATTTGCTTGTCCTGGAATTCTTCGTGCTGAAAAAAAAATCAAAAAGGGTGAAACTACTGATGAACCATAAACTCCAATGCCAACAGTAAGATAGGGAACAAACTGGTGGATAAAGCAACCACAGGCCTATTTCAGGATCTGCACGTCCAATTGCTTTAATCTAATCTCCATCACTTTGGCATATTCAATAAGTGAAACCAAGATTGACAATTCCCGAACCATATTTAGCAGAAAATAGAGCAAATTCAATACCATCGTGACTGGGCTTAATTCCGGAAATGTCTTCTCAAACCGATCCGCCACCGAGATAAAAGAAATTCCGTGAGGATATAGAAAGGTAACTTTCTAATAGACTTTATTTTGAAGCAATAGATGCAGACGATTATGAATAATGACAAACTGAGCATCCAATAGCCGGATAAACAACCCTAGATTGTTCAGAAAACTTTTGCTAATCCATCAGGTGCGATTTCCGCAAGCGCATATGTAGATGTTCGTAATCAAATTTTGGTTGTCGTTTTGTGCAGTCTGGAGGTTGTAATGTTTGCGCACCAATCTTACTTTATACTCTCACTTCGGAAATTGTTCTAACATATTCTAACATGACATTTGTTGAACGCGTTGAATATGTCGGGACTAACAGAGAGCATGTACACGGTAGCGTTTGGCATTAGCGATTGAACCTATAGCTCTAGATTTGGACATCACCTTCAGCAAGCCCAACTGTTCGTGGATACTCTTTAGTGAACCCTTCATTTAACGCTACAAACGATTTACACACCAAATAAGCTGCTCAACAATAAGCATTATTGAAAATTAGATCCTGAAGGATTGTATTCCCAACCGTTAAAAACAGGTGATGATGAAACAGTGATCAATACACACACACTTCAACACAAAATGACCGCAGAACACCATGTGATCTTCATATCACTTTCAGAGGGATTAGAGAATAAGAGACATCTTTTACCTCGGTCATACTATACCAGTAGCATAAATAACTTTAAGAGTAATTATAAGTTGTTTTATGATGTAAAATAAACTGAGATCGACACAACGACATTTAAAGGGAACGTGCCTCGTAAAAAAGAACAGTATGTAGGCGAATATGGCTATCAATCAGTAAGTAATTTCATTAAAACTCAAATTTTTCCATAGGAAGAAATTTCCCTATAAGCATCGATTAAATGAGAAACAGAAAGTCTAAATCCGAAGGTGAATCTAAACCGTATTGGTCACCTTTGAAGTAGGCGAAGAAATTTGACTAATGTGCAAAGAGTGCATTTTCAAAGTATACTTTCACCTATATTTTAAAAGCTGAGGAGAAAATTGTGGCTTTGAAGATAACATTCGGCACCAGAATCCCTAGTGCTGTCAATTAACTCAAGGGGAAAAAAAGGGAGAAAGAGAGGGGAAAAAATTGACTATGAAAAATAGGACTAAATTCAGAGGACAAGGTTTAGCGAATTCTCTATCACCCCTCCCTCCTCCTCCTCCTCACCATTTCCCTACGTAAGCGAATGTCCACCGAATTTCTCACAAAACGTGAAACTCTAAGATTACATGAATTAAAAGACAAACACAACCCACACATTGCTCTACTCTAGTAATTACAACTGTTAAGTTTAAAAATGATGTAGATTTGTAACAGAGCTCTGCTCTGTTACAAAGAGGTCAACCCGATGTGAAACTGAGGAGGATCATAGTGACAAAATATAGAAGTATCTCTTGTTATGCAATCAGAGGACAAAAAGTTGCGCTTTTTCAAGAAGAAGAACGTTGACAAATGAAGGGGGAAAGCAATGACAGTCGGAAATAAGAGATAAGGCAAAGAAAGAGCATGGATCTTGCGAAAGATGGGTTGTGTCAAACTAAGGCAGACGTGATGAGGGCCATAGGGATTGTAAAAGAGATAATTGATATGCGTTTTCGATTTGCATACAGAGTGGATAGGCGTTCGGTTGGCGTAAGCATTAAAAAAATCAAGTGATTCTGCGAAGTTGTAAGCATGGTGGTTCTTGAAGAATTCCAAGAGGGAGCTTTGGATTCAACTATCCCAACCACTAGATTGCTCACATCTTTCTACCTAAAATCCAACGATTTGAATGACATCTTGAATGAGAAAGCACTGTGATTTGAATATTAAAGCGCCCTTATAAGAACGAGGCAAACAGACAAAATTCACGCTAACTTCTGGCTACAAATTGAAAGCGGTTAACGACGAGAAAGCAATTTGAGAATTCAGTAAAGGTATCACTCCCACGCCTCCAAAACTTTCCCACACACTCATCCAACGTGTATATATAAATTTCAAATTTAAAAAAAAACACGAAGGATCAAGGAACCTTTATCCACAGTTGCCTGCCAACTTATTTTCGCCTAGTTGGTGTTGATGAATCGTAAGAACTGTTGTCTTCTGCTAACTGAAAATCCCACAGTATATCCTGAGTTGGTCAAACCAGCAGCTTACTTTCCCAAATCTACTAACGGCTAAAAGTCGATGTGGGAGGAAGAGACTTACACTTTCTCGGTGTATATAAAAGGGACTGTGTTTCATAGCTTAAATAGATATCTAACAGGGGGCGAAGTTTCCAGAACACTCAGGAAGGGGAAACTCACGAAGTCGCAGTAAATACAGAACTAAGACGATAGTGACGCATAAATCACTTTAAAAGACTACACCCCAAGTGATATTTTGCGTAGTAATTGATAAGACGTAGAAGGTACACAATTTTTGGTACAAATTGGTAATAAATACCTACCAATAGCTACCCTTAACCCAATAAAGAGTGGACCTATTTATGTGTCTTTTTTACCTTTACACACGAGAATTTTCTCATTTGAGTACGCCTCACTCGATGAAGCTAGAAATTTATGGTTCGTCAACCGGATAATCATTTCAATCAATTGAAAAAAGTGCATTCATTCAAAAGATATCCGAGCTTATTTAATTTGAAAAGCCAAGTAATATACTTGGAAGAAGTCTTCAGCGTCTGCAAATGCACAAAACTCGATTGAAAGTTTAGTTAACAGCCCAAAAAGACAGTGCTTATCTTCGAAATATGGGAGAAAGTGTAAACATTTCGCCTTGAGAACCATTAAAATGCATGTAAGAAGACGGGGGTATTGCTATAGGGCGTTAAAGTGCCGATTTGCTTCATTCACCCGGCCTATTTTCACCGAGAAAAGCGTAAATCCAGCAGGAGAACTTTTTTTGCCATTGCGAGCTAAACCCCGCTCGATTTTCCCCTCACTTTCACTCGATCGCCTGTTAGTGAGCCGACTGAATTCCTAGGAGGGTGAAATAACGCTACGTTTTGTTCAAACTCACTTCAAGCAGAGAAAAAAAAACCAAAAACCTGAAGTTCTCACCCACAACAAGTTAAGGAACTGAGTAATGGTAATTGAAGTTTTGAAATCGGGATAGGAGTGGTGATGGTGGCGGGTGGGGGATTCAAATCCCTATAAACTTAACCGATCGGTTCAACTAACAAGTCGCAAAACTGGCTGATTCGAGCGATACCAGCCTCTTTCTTTGCTAGGTCGATAGATTAGTAACTCAAGGCTATGAAACTAATATATTTGCTCAAAGTAACTGTTAAAAAAAACCTCCAGAAAGCTAATTCCAATTTTCCTATGAACACTACTATAAGGCAATCGAAATCGGCGTACATTTTGATACTAAGCCCTTTAAGGTGTGCATAGAGGCGCGCATAAACACCTCCACGTGGTGCACCCTGGGCAACGTATATTCATACGGCAAAAAAGTCTATTAACTGCAATTGACTTCAAACTACCACCACCTCACTTTATGCCAAATTCGACTATTTCCACAGTTCTCTTCTTACATTTTTCTACCTTTGAGTTTGTCTCTTACATCTTTGAAACACACTTCTGCTCCCTCCCCCCCTCCTCTCGACTTTTTCAATTTGATGTCCCTTCTCCTCTGTGAAGTCTGAAGTCAACCAAAGGGCCTATGATAACCATCAAAACGCCTGCCATTTGATATAAATACACCACACTAAAGTCTCAATGATTCATTAACTTTAATTCGAAAAGTTTTCCACCCAAGTTCTAATCCTCGCAAATTAGAAAAGTGGAGGCGATAAACAAAACGCCCACATTACTGTGAAGACGATAGTGATAGACAAATGTCCGTACCGAACCGAAAGTCCAAACTCTTACGTAACTAATAAACTGAATGAAGGAATGGGTGAATCGGTGTTTAAGTGATAAATGACGTTTTTCGAGAGATTAATGTATGGTGAAACATGGATCAAACGGAGTTTACAAAATGAAAATGTTTCAACACACCCCCAAGTTTTATACAGAAAGCAATTCAACTTTGAAATAAATTACTACACCCCCACGGCATTTCGATGATGATGGAAATGATTCTACAAAGACAAAAGTTGGACCCTATTTTATCCAAAAAGTGTACAATAAAGTTTGGTCATTGGAGGACCATAAAGTGCAAAGATGACCTTCCATTTTAACTCAAAATTTATTTTCAGATGTGATTCTACTCGTTGTTGTTGTTGTTAGCAGAAGAAAGGAGGTATTTCGAAAAAACACACTGAGACGAATTGACTCAGTCAAAAGAAAGCCTCGATAGCCTAGGAGAGAATTGAACTTAAATCGCACAATCACTGCCTTCAATACCAATAATCTGAAATCCAATCCACCTACTTCTCTACCAAGCCTGGCTAGCCAACAACTACAGTAAGAAAAGAACGATGACATTGACGAAAATGGGAAAAATGCAGATACAACAATAGGAAGGGGGTAAAACGGCGAGTGCGACCAAAGGGGAAAGCGAAGGGTGATACACTTCAACCGCTGATGCTTTTCTTGACACATTTAGCTAGCACTTAATGATGGATATTTTTTAAAGGAATCTTTGTGGTTATCTAAATCTACTCGTTTCCTATTGCTGGTTAGCGTACATATGTCCTATGCGTGTGTGTTTTGGATTTTGAGGAGTTTTCGTTACTAATGGATGGTCCAATTTACTCGATTTATATAACCACTGCTTAAGCAATCTAAAAAGAGTGACTTACGAAATATT